CAAGTTGTGGAGTCTGTTTCCGCACATCAGACCAGCTACTACTAAAAATGAGTCTCTTATAGATAGTTATAGAAGATTCTTCTTTTCAGTTTTATTTGTTTATAGCAACATGAACTACATGCTTCCACTTAGGTATTCCAGTGCAACAAGGAGATCCAATACCTCAATAAGCTTCAGCAAGGTGATCTATGTTTCCATACGCAATGGAAAAGATTTAAAGTGTGTCCCTTTGTTGCACAACAGTTTAAAGCTTCAAAAAATCTAAGTAAACACCTCTCACAGAATTAAACAAGCAGACACTTTGCTTGATTATGAAATGCTTTTGTTGGATGAGCTACGTGTTTTCTGCAGTAGAGCAATGCATTTGTAAGCCACAGGTACTACTACAAGTGTGGTATCAGAGTAGAAGTGGCGACATTTTAATAGTCTGTGCAAGAATTCCACTCTACTTTTTGCAAGCTGCATATCTTGAAGATACATTCTCCCAGTTGATCACATTCCAGATGGCTTTCAAATAATCAGGCCGAACGTTTTTATACTGAAGATAATAAGCATGTTCCCATACATCGATTCCTAGCAAAGGAATGAGACCTGTAAAAAAAATAAAAGGATAAATTCTGTAAATCTACAAAAACACACTTTACATGTAAAGTCTTACATTTCATCCCAAAGTTGTACCCAGTTTCTGAGTCTTTATCTGCAGGGAGACAAAGAGCTCTCCAGCACATAGGTGCTTATTGTAACATTTTACAGAACTGTTTGCTCTACACACACAAACACGCATTGCATAAACTGAAGAAGCTGATTAACACCTACAATATCCTAGAACTGCCTTGAAGACATAACTGAAACCCAATAAAGTAATTTTTGAAAGGTTTACATCTTTTGCACAGTTATGCAAGCATTTTCATGAAAAGTTGTATCAGGAAGGAGTCTTGCCACGCCAGTTTGCTTCCAATATTTTAACCACAAGTCATCAATTGTCTAATTACTTTCCTTGCTTTTGTGCTAAAATATCCTTCTCACTGAATTTTTAACAGGGAGTTTTCATGGGAGGAGGTGTGAAATTTACCCACATTATGCTGTATGTCTGTATAATAAAATTATTCCTTTTTTTTTTCCCCTCTAGTGAGAAACGGACTGCTGATAATACATGAAGTTCCTTGCCATTCTGCATGAACTCTACAGAATATGTTTTAAAGATTCTTGCAATAGAATTTGGGCAAACAGCCACTGAGGGCAAGACTCTCATTGGCCATGAGCTCTTCCCTCTGTGGAGGGTGTCCAACCTGCTGTCATCACTGCCATGTCACTCTAAGCAAATAAAAATATATTCAAAAGCGATCACGGCCAGTATTATGCTGCTTGCTTAGCTGCAAGATTTATCCCCATCCAAGGCTTATTTAACTGACATTTCATTACTCTTTACCAATATTAAGGAAGCAGATTACAACCCTTTCATTTTAAACCCAGCCTACATAGTAAGAAAGAGTTACTACGTACTCCTTCCTCTCTCCTGTTGTCTGGCCTACACTGACAGTTCCGTGAATAGCCCCTCTGCCAGAAAGAACAATCTAAAGGCAAGAGGCTTAATCTTCCTCAATACAGGTGAGCTACTCCAGTTACTCGAAAATAATCCAAAGGAGCCTAAGCTAAAACCATTGACTAACAGAGAGCACCTTCACAATATGCCCCATCTATTTTCCCTTTGACTAGACAGACTTTAAACCCTACTGCTCTTTTAAGTCCTGCTTTACAAATTATGCTTTAAAAATTGCAACTGTTTTTCACTTCTGCTAGTAGTGATATTCAGTCCTCCAGCCCTCTTTACCCAGCAATTTCTTCTCAGCATTTGTCCACCAACCCCTTTTCAGATCTCACATGCTTGCCTATGAAATCTACAAAGAGCGAAGTAGCGGGGAAGGAAAGAAACCTGACCTGTTGTTCCTTGCAAAGGGTCTTGATTTGCACAAGCTGCTATTTGTAGGCGCCCCTGCTCTTTGTTATAGCCAAGCCACCCCCAGCCTGATCCTTGAACACCAACTGATAAGGCTGTCAGCTTCTCCTTGAAGTTTGAGAAGGAACCAAAGTCACGCTTGATGGCTTCCATCAACTCTCCTTTAAAAAAAGCACAGAAAAGTCACAGAACATCAGGTAACTTAACATCTTTCAATTTCCAGATATCATCTGGAAAAAGAAGGAAAGAGGAGCAGAAACATTTGGGCTCTGTGGGAAGGGAGTGACTAGACCGAGTAGTTGCATCATTGATAAACAGTTCTGTCCCAACCTGCTTAAGAGGACAAGCAGACTGAAAAGGAATTAGTGCAGTATTCAAACACTCTGTCCTCAAAGACACAGTCAGAGTCTTCTCAAGAGGACACTCAGGTGTTTACATTTTTGTCTAAAAGGAAACAGAACATCACAGACAAGGACTAGGAAAGAAGGTAAAAAGCTAGTTTGCCTATCAAAAAGGACATTAAGTAGCTGTGATTTCTTTGTCTTAGTACAAAGAAATATTTGGACATCTTTGACATCAATATAATGAACCTACGTATAGTTAAAAGGTGTTTAACCACTTCCCTCAGATTTCAGATTTACATATGCTTCTACACTTAAGTAGTCTATGTGATATGGACACGTAGGCTCCATGATTAGATCCCTTCTTTATTATACAGTTAAGCTAACTTGTGCTGGGACAAAAGGGAACAAACTAGAATTGTTTGATGTAACAACACATTGCCAAACTACATACTTTCCCCTACACCCTAGTACATTTCTGGTTTTCAGATATTTAAGTGTTTGCTCAAAACCTGAAGGTGTCTATGCTCCTTTCTAATTAGCTTTCTGATTTGCATATGTGAGAATACTTCATACAGTGCAATGCTGAAGAATTCTTTGTTTCCTCCACCTTCAGATGGATGGTCTTGAAAATCTGTTGGTGATAGCTGCAAGTGCATCTCAGGACAGGCTTTCTCAGGCTTCCTACATAAGCCTTGAACTGTTCCATTGAAACTGAAAGATTACATTTTAGGCTTACCAACTTCCGCTGAAAGTTCACAGAAATTGGGAGACAAAAATAAAGGCTTTAAAGCATCTTTCCTGAGAACGTCATCTGAAAACAAGCTCTATCAGAAACAGACTGGTATCACAACTGCTTGTTGACATTTCAGTTTCGAAGCTTCAAAGCTTTATGGTCTAGTCTTAACTAGATCATCTTCAGAGCACCTTTGTATCTCCATGGTAGAGCTAAAATTCACAAGTAGATGTTACCTATGAACACTGAACCAGAGTACAAAGTACCTGAAGCCCACCAATTTACAAACAGGCACATAAACCTCATTCAAAACTCCTCAAGTTTATCACAATAGCTTTTGTGAGATCTGTATTATAGGGCCTTTACCTTTAATTTCAGGTCACTTGTAGATAATCATTACTCTATCCTCCCAAAGGATCCCTCCTTTAGGCTTTAACTGCTAAACTATCCCTATTCAAATTGGGGCAAAAATCCAGCCACTAGGTCAGGTGGTCTGCAGCACACTTCTTCCTTCTGTGAACCAAGTACATATATGGCAACTTAATTAGCACAGCTTTGTACAACTATTTTCTCATATGGAGATGGAAAGGACAATATACAGTAATAGCCAATTTTGCAGTGTATGCATAATCAGCTTTAGAAATCAAAAATACCTAGCACAGAGCTAGCTTTTTATATTCTTGGCTCGCATCCAAAAAACCATTGAGTTCCCCAGAATTGTGGTAACTGTCATACAGAAAGGCAAATTCATTCCGAAAAAATAAAGATCCTTTAGACTCTTTGAAAGAGAGAAAAAGATCATCAGTTCTACTGGTCAATTAAAATGGATGCAATAAACCACTGTAATAAGCACTAACCTTTAGGCTCTCCTCCTCCATTAGGAGAAAGGTTTGTCCAGAAGATGGTGTGATTGATATGACCCCCACCATTGAACTTCAGGGCAGGCTGAAGTGACACCTGAGCTGTAACATCACCTAAGGACGTAGAAGAAAAAAATACACAGATAAATAAAAACATCATCATCACCACAGCAGCCATTAAGTTGCCTCTAAGCCTCCATCCATCTCCAAAATCTTTCAAGTCTTACTAGTCTATAACATGCCTATGGAAAAGATAAGGTTTGTGACTGTTATACATATTTTAGATAGTCACTGACATAAACTACATTAAAGATTTCTTTATCTTTTACCTTTTCTTTTCCTGTAATGATGCGATCTGCTAATATTGCATCTATCAGGCAACCCGTACTACATGCATAAGATCTACTCCTATTCTACAGCAGAATAAAGCAACCAGTAGAGTCAAAGCATTTTAAGGACTCAGCACTTGTAAATTGCTCAGTATTACCGCTACCAGACAAGAACACTGTTCATCCATTAGCTCACTGATCGGCAAACGAAGAATTTTACACCTTCTTAAAAAATTTACAGAGCAAACAGTTTGTGTTTCAAAGAAAGCTGAGTACAGTGTGCATGTACGCTAACAAAATGTTCTTCTCCCTCCTATTTTTTGTTTTGTTTCCAGTGTTTTTTTTGGGAATGAGGTACTTGCAGGAAGAGATAGTGACCCATATAATTTTAGTCAGCACCACAGAACCCTGCATCTGAAATCAAGATCAGACAGCCCTGTACTTCCTCCCTCTCCACAAAATGCCATGTTCCTTAAAGAATTCACCAGTGTCTTGTGCCTCTAAATGGTGTTGCAACACTTCAACACAAATGTTTTGAATGCTATTATGGCTTTTAGAAGAATTGAAACATTTCAAAGGTTTTTGAAACTTCTTCCACCACTCCGACACATTCTCTAATAAAAAATCAGCCGGGGGCAGCTGTTTCTCCCACTCACTTTCAGGAATGAATAGTAGAAGTCTTCCTATAGCAATAAACGAGTCATCTTAACACAGATGTGAAGGCAAGCCACAAAGCAGTAGCATAACTGTTACTAAGAGGTTTTCATACAGGATTCTGGGTTCCCAGCATCTCCTCATACCCTTCAGAAATTGCAACAGTCTTGGTAAGCTTCATACAAATAAAACATTTGCATGGAGCTGTTCCAATATAACTCACAAGTCCCCAGAAATACAGAATTCAATGCTTTGCTAAAATAAACTGCAATAGGACTCAATCACAGCAAAAGTACCTTGGAATTTATTTGCATACAGAGTCCCTGGCCTTTGCTCCAGTTTACCATACTCCTCAACACAACCACAGAGGACAATTCAGTGAACCAAGACAGGCAGCTTAGAAGTGCTCTGGAGAGTAGTCAGCTCAGTTTCTCAGTCTACTGACAGTTATTTGTTTCCTTGTAAGAGCAGTAAGTAAAGCACCACAGGTCATGTGACAGTCAGAAAAGAGCAGGGAAGATTCTGGTAGGCACAAGTCTTCACTGAAATAAGTTTCAAGTTTATATCCTTTAATTAGCCAATCCTGTGCGTTTTGATGAACCAGTAATCAGAACCAGCTTATGCTGAAATAAAAAACAAAGTCCTGTGCTGCACCTTTCACAGAAGTGCATAGTCATTTTCAAATGAGCTAACATAAGCCAAGGGGTCTCAACTCAGGATAGGTTTTATTTGAGTTTTCTAAGCAGATATAGCTAGGAGAAGACAACATTAAAGATGATCTGAAGAGAATACTTCACTTTCTATTGCTGAACAAAAGCCATTGACAAGGTTCTGTTATCCAGAAGAGATGTTAGATAGTGATTAGACATGTTGTGTAACTCAACACTGAAACACAGCACAGAAAGATTTTTGATCGTGCTCAGTTTTTAAATATGGAAAAAGAATTACAATATTGAGAGAATGAGGTGGCAGTTCAGACTTTGCCCCTTCGTAAACCCTAGTCTTAAAAGTCTTTCTAATGAGGGCCAAAATACTACACACAGTAGTATACTGAGACATCAATTAAGGAGAAACAAAAGCCAAACCAAAATGCGCGCACACACAACACAAGTATCGAAAGCAGATATTTGCTTTGATATGCATGACCACTGGCAGTACGCTATCCATCTGCAAAACAACGTCGGCAAAATCCTCAGGGAAAGATTAACCTCTACCTCTAGATACACCTTGTTCGGCAAGCAATGAAAGCCTATCGAAGGATATTATTTGTAAAAAACACCTCAAAGGATCCACAACACTGCGGATGTTCCTGCTAACCACAAATTCGGCCTGCACTATTGGCTGAAGCCTTGGTCATTAAATGGCGTAAGTAACAGCAGCAGCTATACTGATTTCTTACAGTTCAGGTTTCCTCCTCAATTCTGTTTGCACTAATTAAATCTCCAGAGTACAACTTTCCTGGATCCATGACTGGCAGGACAAAGCAGCAGCCAATCTTGATTGCCTGATTCTTAACTTAGGCACTCGAAAAATCTCTAAACTTTCACAGGTAACCAACTTTCTCTATTCATGCACATTAGCATTTAGCCAGGGCTAAAGGGTTCAAGTTTACTCAGATATTGACAATTCTCACATTCACTCAAGCCCAAGCAGTTAAACTGCACTGTGAACCCACCTGGTAATCACATAGAAGTGAGCCTATAAAGTAATGACTTCTTAGGGGTAAAGTGATACTCTTTAGAAAGATCATCACAACAGAAAAAAAATCAGAAAACATTCCACCTTTTTAAAAAGATACACATGCTCTTTCACACATTTCCATCAGTCCAACTGACAGACTGAAAGATTTGAAAAAAACATTTCATGCTTTTCAGTGTTGTCCAGCCAGAACAACTGTAAAGTTTTCATAGAAGTCAACATATCTCAAGATTCAATTTAAGATCTTAACAAATAATCCCATGATGGCATGCTGTATGTTTTAGAGTCTCGCACTGGCATGTGAACTATGTGACCCCTTCATCTGACCCACGGGCATAACTGACACCCAAATTCAATCTCTTCCAACTCCTCTATTGACTGTGGATATACAAACCTTTTGCCAGTGCCTCTTTGTATTTCTCCTCCGCCACATTCAGGTTGTTCACGTAGGTGGCATGATGTTTGCTGTGGTGCAGCTGCATGATCTCTGCATTAATATGAGGTTCCAGAGCGCCATAGTCATACGGCAAGTCAGGAAGAGTGTGCTTTTGCCTAGAGACCAAGCATCCCAATGGTGCTATCAACTTGGCACCGCTTCTGGAAAAGAAAAAACAGAAGGAAGTAGTCTTATTCAGTACTTAGGCTTTACCACTGAAACCATGACTGTTATGATAAGCTGCTGTAAGTACACAAGGTGGTATCTTAGATAAAGAAGTCAAACTTCCATTTTTCTAGAGCTCAAAGCAAGCATTCTCTGTACCTTAATTGCAGAGATGAGTTCACGTAAAGGCCACAGATCTAGGGCTTCACAGTGTAAAGTTGCCACATCTCAAATGAAGCCTCCCAAGCCACTGCAGAGTCACATGCCCTCCCACACATGCAGGCAAGGGAAAGTTGAGGAAAGGGAAAGCCGGCAGTACTATGCTGACATTCAAAGCTTCACCTAATCTTTACTGATGAAAACCAAAAGCCAAGATGTCCCTGTTAAGTTTCCCTCCCTCACTATGGCAAAAGGTCCCTGCATTAAAAAATAAAAAGGCTGAAAAACGCAGTCACTGGGTTCCCAGGACTGAACCTCTTCAGCACCAACGCCTCCTGTGCCAACACGTGTGCTCCCCTTTCCCTGTGGCAGGCAGCGGAAATCCACACGCTGCGTGATGATGGGCAGCTGCGATGTCCCCCACAGAACACCACACGGGCTCTGGTCGCCCTTCCCCATTTTAACACCTCGCACTTGTCACGAGACGTGACAACGACCACAACGGAAGGAGAACCGCTGGGCTGGGAGGGAGGAAGGTCAACTCCCGAGGCCCTTTCACGTTCCGCTGGTGACCTTGCCATAAACCGGGGACAAACCGAGAGCAAAACCCTCACGGCCCTGCAGAGCGGCCGAGGGCAGCGACCCCGGCTGGAAAAGACGAGGGGATGTGGCAGCACCACGTCAGGTGTCGAGAGCCCCTCGGCGGGGGACGAGGGCAGAACCCGGGAGAGCGAAGGGACCATCGCCAGCAGCCCCCCGGCCGCGCCGCTGCCCGGGCCAGTGCCGAGCCCTGCGGAGCGGTCGGCAGCAGCGTCACCTCCCTCCTCCCGAAATGGCGGG